TTCTCCATATCAATCTACACCTCTTGGCCCTGGTGGTGCATCTGTCAATCAAAGACCTATTGCTCCCTATGGACCTCCTGGCGGAATTAATCCTCAAACGCGACCTCCAATGCCAGGTATGAGCCCATCGCCACCCTTACCAGCAGGTTATCGCCCTCCCTCTGCCCAGGCTCCATATACTGGCGCACCTCCAGGAATGTCTCCTGGACAGCCTGCCATTTCACCTCAGTCAGGAATAAGGCCAACCGTTTCTCCAGCCTTCAGACCTGGAAATTTACCGCAAACTTCTTCGGGACGTCCTTTATCATATCCAAATCAAACAACTATGGGTCCTAACTATCAAGTAATGCCAGCAAATTCGACATCACCACCAATACCTGTAGAGAGTCCAGAATCTCCAACAAGTCAGCGTTCTCAAACACCGCCCTCGGCAAGTCATAAACCGAAACGTTTGTATCCAAAGCAAATCTCGGAGGCTTATACAGATTCTAACACGTACGGTGGACAATATCAAGCTTTTACTCCTGCAGTAGCACCTGGTGGCATTGGGCAGCAGATACAACCACCAGCCATTGAGCAGAATGCGTACCAGCAGCCTCAATTCTTTACACCAGCTGGAAATCAGAATTATCAGGCAGCGATGCCTCCGATGACGCCCGCTCATTATTCTCAACAATATCCACAACAACCTTCAATGAATGCTTCAATGGGTGGTTTGACGAATCAGCTGAACAATATGAATCTCGGGGGACATTCACAGGTGCATAAAACTATTTTCGCGCAAATTTCGATCTGATAGGATTAATTTACAAATCGATCATATTTTGAATAAAGGCTCAATTGATTACCGTTAACTTGATCGGTACTCCGCCAAATGTCGGAGACCTGGATGCTCCACCACCACCTATTAACTTACCACCTAATGTAAGTCACATTTGCATAGATTATTATTCCTTTGAGTGCCCCAATAAATAGTATAGTGTCGAATTCGTTAACGTTCACTGCACTTTTCTGATTTAAGGCGTCTGTCACTCCATCGGACAAAGCGAATTGTGACCCATCTTATAAACGATGTACTCTTAACTGTGTTCCCGCCACAACAAGTCTTCTCAGCAAATCCAGATTACCATTTGGTCTTATTATCACCCCTTATAGAAGCTTGAAAGAGGGTGATGTAAGTATTATACCATTCACTGTTTGTTTGTTGTGTATATTCAGTTTACTGATATTAATCTTTGTCAAATTTGTAGGATCCAGTTTCGGTGATCACAGATACCGTTATTGCAAGATGTCGAAGGTGCAGAACCTATATTAATCCTTTTGTTACTTTTGTTGAAGGTGGACAAAAATGGAAATGTAATTTGTGCTTCTTATTAAACGAAGGTAATATGATGAAAGTTAATGTATCAGTAGCTGATGTATAACATAACATAACGTTCAAACTACATTAATAATATTTACAGTACCATCACAGTTTGATTGGGATTTACAAACTAGCCAACAAGCAAATCGATGGAAGCGAGCGGAACTAAACCATGCTGTTGTTGAATTTGTAGCACCTACAGAATACATGGTAACTAAAAAATTTGTGTGACATTATTTATTTCTTCATACTAATTCTGTTTTATAATTTAAAGGTCCGTCCACCTCAACCACCAGTATATTTATTTGTGATCGACGTATCATATCCTGCTGTACAGTCCGGTAGGTGGTGTATATATTTAAGAAATCGGTTCTTATGGCACTGTTTATCGAACAAATAAAGGCAGAAATACATATTTGCGAAAATATAGAGTGCCTAATTTATTTTTGAATAATATCATTGTTTTAAATTGTAATATTTTACGTAATTCAAAATATCTAAATATGATTATATTTTATTAAAGGTGCTGTTGCAACTGCTGCAAGGACCATTTTGGAATCATTAGATCGAATACCTAACGAAGAAAATCGTACAAAGATCGGGTTTATCACTGTGGATACATCATTACACTTTTACAGTCTTAATGTACCTGCTTTATTTCTTTTAAATAATCAAGCTTTATATGAAGAATGTTCATCATTAAACATATATGAAATTTTTTTTAGTCTAACTCATCTGAACCTCAAATGTTGGTTGTTTCTGATCTTGAAGACGTATTTCTCCCACAACCAGATGATTTATTAGTAAATTTAACTGAAGCTCGTTCAGTAGTTGAGTCGTTGCTTAGTCGTCTTGGTGATATGTTCAAAGATACGCATATTGTCGGCAACGCTCTGGGATCTGCTTTGCAGGCCGGCTTCAAATTAATTGTAATGCATCTTTTATAGTAATTTTTAGTTTTTTATCTTGGTTTTGTAAATTTACTTATGTTCTCATTAATTATTTGCAATTCAGTCTCCGATAGGTGGTAAAATCGTAGTGTTACAGTCTAGCCTACCAAATATTAATCCTGGACAATTGAAAATTCGAGAGGATTCTAAAGCATTGGGGACTCCAAAAGTATTTTATCCATTACCTTATTATATCGAAAGCGTGTTTGGGCATTAAATTTACCATTAAACTATTTGCACAGGAATCTTCTCTTTTACAATCTGCAGAGCCTTTTTATAAAAAATTTGCTGTTGATTGTTCTCGATCTCAAGTTTGTGTAGACATGTTCTTACTCGGGTCACAGTATTCTGACGTAGCAACATTAAGTATGGTTTTTAATCTCGTATAATAATATATTGTCTATAATTAATGTTCACAAGTTTATTTACTTATTTTTTTTATGACATACAAAGGTTGCTGTCCGCGATACACTGGCGGACAAACTTACTTTTATCCTGCGTTTAATGCAGGTAGATCAGAAGATGCTCTTAAATTTGCTCATGAATTTGCAGAATTTTTGGCCAGTCCAATTGCATTAGAAGCAGTAATGCGTGTTAGAGCTTCAAAAGGTAAAAATCCTTAAGATTATGTGTAGCAATTTAATTTCTTTTTTTTTTTTTTTTAATAATGACGTACATTCAATTTGAATATTAATTAGGTTTACGTATGACTGCTTTTCACGGTAATTTCTTCGTTCGTCAAACGGATCTACTCGCTTTACCAAATGTTTCAAGAGATCACTCATATGCCATCGAAGTTGGTATAGAAGAAAACATAACTACACCAACTGTTTGTTTTCAAACTGCTCTTTTACATACAACTTGCTTTGGTATAATAATATTTTCAACTTTTCTTTTATTCTATTAAGCAAACCATTTTGGCTTCATCGGTACTTCTTCTTAAAAATATATAGGTGAAAGAAGGATTCGTGTATTGACGTTGGCATTACCAGTTACAAATAGTATAAGTGAACTTTATTCTTCAGCCGACCAAATAGCTATATCGACATTATTGGCAAATAAAGGTAAACTTAACGTGCATGTTTGTGTTAAATATCAGAAACTCATGCGTAATTTGAAGATTATTATTATTATTTTTTACTTTTAATAAGCGGTGGAAAGGTCGTTATCTTCGAAGTTGGAAGACGCACGAGATGCGTTAACAAATAAGTTGATTGATATTTTGGGTGTATACAAATCAGCTATTACTGGATCTCAGGGAGCTTCCCCCCAATTACAAACTTGTGATAATATGAAGTTGTTGCCTTTGTTAGCACTTGGGCTGCTTAAGCATGTATGTTCTGTGAATTCTTTGTTGTATTATTATTTTATTTTTGTATTCTCATTGTTTTTCGTACTTTAGGTTGGTTTACGTGCCAGTTCACAAATTCCAACGGACTTACGATCTTATGCGATGTGCTTATTGACTACAATGCCATCTCAATTATTGATTCCATATCTACATCCACGTTTTTATTCATTACATAACATGCCTATCGATGTAAGAAAAATGATTCCTAGAAGTTAATGTTTCAACATAAATTGAATTAAAACATATATATTTTATTGATTTTTAATAAGGCTGGGACATATGGACCGGATGGAATAATTATGCCACCGCCCTTAAATTTAAGTAGTGAAAAATTAGAACGCCATGGTGCATACTTATTAGAGGATGGGCAAAATATTTTTATCTGGCTTGGTAGACAAGTAGTGCCTCAATTATGTATGGATTTATTGAACGTTCGTTCATACGAAGAAGTCCGTTCTGGAAAGGCATGCTACGCGTCAGATGATGTTAATCTTTTGTTTGTAATTCCAAAATCACATCATTTTAACATACTGCTTTCAAAATATAGGTTACACTATTGCAATTGGACAATTCATTCTCACAACAAGTGAATACAATTATTGGTAAAACACGAGAGTCACGGCGAGGTGTTTATTATCCTCATCTTTATATAGTAAAAGAAGATGGTGGTGATCCATCGTTACGGTTATGGTTCTTATCACACATCATAGAAGATCGCACGGATACAGTGATGAGTTACCAACAATGGCTAGGGCATTTGAAGGATAAGGTAAAGTAGAACAATTTAAGAGAAAGGATAGATTGAATTCTTAATATACCAGCAACCTCTTGACATTCTTGCTATTTTTATAGGTTAACACGGGTTCATTTTAATTGATAGAATAAAAAAAAAATAATAAATTTATTATCTTACTGATATATATTTGATTAAAAATTTTTTTTGAGTATTGTCGCTTAGATTGTTATATATGGACTTTTTCACCAAGTAATCTCTAGATAAATCTGAGGGGATTATTGTTATAGACGTTGTAGTTATAATAATAGGAAATGAAAACATCAAATTTTGTTGTAGATACAAATTTTTTAAAGCAATTTATACAAAATTCTGATTCATTTTATTTCAGCGTGATAAAGCTTTGGTAATAAATGTTAATATTTTTATTGTTACAATGATATTAATTGAAATCTAGGTATTTATTTATATGCATATTGACAATTAGGTATTGTATTTAATGTTAATAGAATCCCAATGTTTTTTTTTATTTAACATTCGCTTAATTTATAGAGCCAGTATTTTACCCCCCCCCCCCCTCAAAATTTAATTTAATGTTACAGTCTAACTATAATGTCCAACTATAGTATCAAAAAATAGTTATTAAACGATGCCATCATGTTTTACTTTAGAAACTATTGAATCACACAATTCTTATCATTATGCATTTCCTTTCTTAAGTTGTTTGGTTCATTATCTCTACGAGTAACTGCACCATCAAGAGCCAACCTTTTCTTTGCATCTTCATTACCGTGAGACGCGGCCTACGTATTTTTATTTTATTATTTTTTTTTTTTAAAAAAAAAGTTAGACTAAGATAAAGAATGTGCACTTATGTTGTATTAGTTAATATTAAAGAAAATACCTTTGTGTACCAAATCATGGCAACGCCAGAATTTTTAGGAACATGAATTCCATGTTCATGAAAATAACCCATAGCGAATTCAGCAGTAGGCAGTCCTTTCAAAGCAGCTTTTTCAGCATGTTCATAAGCAAGTGCTTCGTTTTGTTCCAGATTTTCTGCACCACAAAGATACCATTTACTTAATGACATATCAGCTTCAACATGACCTTTTTCAGCAGCTCTTTTATAATATTCAACAGATAATATTGGGTCACATTGAAATCCTAAAGAGCCATATTCATAACATTGACCTATCTTGAATAAAGCAGGAATGTGACCTAAGTTTGCGGCTCGTAGTATTAATTCTCTGGCTTCATGATCATCAGGAGCGACAAGTTCATCAGGAACAACGGCTCTATCCCATTCCTTAGCTAATATCATTCCATATACATAAGCACCATCAGGACAGTCTTCATCAGCTTTTGAAGCAGCTTGTTTTAAATATATCAAAGCTTGTCTAAAATCTACTATTTGTTTAAATTCACCTAACATAAATATTAATGAGAGTCTCTATTAAATAAAATAGAAATAGAAATTAATTCAAGAAAATAGCATATGCAATAGACAAATACATTCATAAATAAAGTATAAATAACATACATATAATGCAGCTACTTCACCTTGTACGGCAGCTTTTTTATAAAACTGTATTGCACGCTTATAATCATCTTTCTTTTCATGATAAAAAGCAACTTTGTACTTTGCTTTAGGAAATTCCTTTTTTGATGAAGTTTGATAATATTTGAAGGCTTTTTCTTCATTCTTTTCTTTCCCATATAAACCATATTCGTACCAAGTACCTTTAATATATAATGCTTCGGGATTATCACTTTTTGCAAGGTGTTTAACCCAATATGTAGCCTCCTGAACTAATTTATCAGTTGTAGCATCTTGCTCAATATTTTTCTCGGGGTTGTTTGAATTATTGGCTTTTCGGAGTTCAATCATATGTAAAAGGAATTTAGCATATTGAATTTGGGTAGAGGGATCATTTGTTTTTTTAGCAGCTTCTCGATATTTTTGTATTGCATTCTGATCAGATGCAAGTGTTTTTGAAGTAGCAGTCTGTCTTTTTTCAATTTTTTCATCAATTAGCAAACGCAGTGGAGATTTTGAAGACTTACGTTCAGGAATAGGAGAAGTTGATCCTACACTCCAACTATTTCTCATCCCCCCGGGGAAATTAGCCCCATTTGGGCCAACAGTATGACCAGGGGATAACATGTTAGGTAATAAAGAAGTATGTTTATAATGTGGCATATAATGATTTTGTGGAGGTTGTAAACCCCATGCTGGTGTGGCTGAAGACTCTGGATTTTGATTTGGTTGTTCGAATTGCTGTGGATTATGTTGAAATGATGTTTCAGCAGAAGAACCAGTATAGTTTACAGATATATGTAGATTTGGTTTTCTTGCACGAGATTGTTGCGGAATATTGGAAAACTCATGCGACTGATATTGAGGATGTTGTATCGGATTTGTTGCATTATCAGGATTTTGGGGATTTGGAGGATTTTGTGGATCTTGGGGGTTTTGTGGATCTTGAGGAATTTGTGAATCTCGAGGATTCAGGGGATTTGGCAAAATTTGTGGATCTTGAGGAACTTGCGGATTTTGCAAAATTTGTGGATCTTGAGAAACTTGCGGATTTTGCGAAAATTGTGAATTTTGCGAAGATTGTGGGTTTTGTGAAAATTGTGGATTTTGCAAAAAGTGTGGATTTTGCAAAAATTGTGGGTTTTGCGAAAATTGTGGATTTTGAGGAAATTGTGGATCTGACTGAATATTATATTGATGACCACTAAATACATTGAATCGTGGAGGATATTGTCCATAATGTGGCTGCATATATTGTTGGTGCTGTATATACTGTTGAGGTTGATATGGCGGCTGTTGTGTTTGATTAGACTGTTGAAACTGAGGTGAGTTACCAAAATGTAAAGGTTGGGTTAGAAGCGGTGGGCTTTGTGGCGAAGGTGGTCGTTGAGAATAATATGTATTATAATTTTGACTTGCTTGAACTTGACTACTGCTTGATACATTTTCATTGTATTCTGTCGATACTTCGCTCTCCTTAAGATCCTTAGAATATTGAGTTTCTATAGCATTTGCAATGTCTTTTGTTACTGTAGGCATAGGTTTGTGTGGTTTAGGCGACATTAAAGGTGGAAATGGTGGATCAGGTGTAACAGAACGAGATCGCTCTGGTGTTAAAGAATCAGAATACTCTTCAGACACTCTATCGCTATAATTTCTTCGAGAATGACTGGTAGGAAGCGGCCTCGGACCTATAATGGATTTTGTTCTAGACATGCGAGTACCATTATCCCTGTTATTTGATATATTTTGATTTTTTTCAGTCATTCTATTAAGTTGTTTTTTATTAAAAAAAAATAAATTATTTGACTTTAACGATTTAGATTAAAATTCTGCTAACGGTTTTTATTTCGATATTAGTTGTGTGAAAAAGATTGGACCATTTATATTAATTTATATTCAAAATCTTATGACACAGATTTATTTATAAATAATCGTGCATCTTGTTCCGGTTTACTGTTATGGTCGAAATTTTCTACACGATGAAAAAAGATAACGATGATTCATTGATTTCCATTTTTCATTCCCGATGTTAACCGACTTGACCTATTTTATTACCATAAAGCCGATTTTATCTTTAGTTATAATGTCTTAAGACTTTAATTATCAATTAATTGCCCTAATGATCATAATCAAGGGTTCTGCAAGTACGTACCAACACGACATTGGTAAAACATAGAGCCAGCACGGGCATGAGCACTGTGTTTTAACAGTGCACTTGCAGAACCCTAACGCTAATCCAAACCATAATGATTTTAATTCTGTTGATATGACTGACATGCCATTATTAGTATGTAAAATAATTTGATTGGCTAAATAAAAAGTAGTATTATAATATATATATATTTTTTATTATAAAAATATATACTGATATTGTGGCGTGCCATATCGATGTGGCATGCCAAATTTTTAGCTACGCCAAGTCACCCTATCAAAGAGTTTTTAAACCTTGATTTTAAAATTTTAATGTTAATTATATGTGTATATCGATACTTAATATGCCTGTACTCTAAGCTAACATTTAGATTAAACTCTAGGTCAAAACAGATCAAACGTGTCGGGCACCGGTATATTGCGAGTACACCAATCAAATTTTATAAATAGGTATATCACATTATATTAACCCCAATACGCACTGGCTAAATTTAGTGACACCACGAAGTTATGTATTTGCAGATATATTGTTATATACAAACAATATCTATTCGTAGAACTTTATTAGTAATTTAGTGATTGGTACATACTATTACATAAGGTAAATATGATTATTACGAAGAAGTTAGGTGAGGTTAATAATACACTAAAACTTTATAACAATAATTATTTACTAAGTTAATGCGAAGTATTATGTGTCCGGAGTAAATACTGAGCAAATCAATTATACACGTGCGAACAGAATCACAAGTAATTGTATCACTTTGACTACGTATGTTCGCTTCACTTCAGATAATGAAATTAATTTTTGGATTTAAAAGTTTTATAAGTATCAAGCTATTAAAACATATTGATAGGTACTAAAGTATGTTATACGAGAGTCATCTCCCCTGTATCGCTGCTAAAAGGACATCCTTAGAATAGACCCTCGTTAGTAACCTAGAGCTAGCCATGGCAGAAAAAAGTGGCGATTATGTAAGATTCTACCTGAACCATGTGAAATCGTACCTTCCGACCAATCAGCATCGGTTACGGTATAACTGTTTGTTATCACATTTCTATTGGTTAACTTTATAATCACATGATTTATTTGCATTTATTAAAAATCTATATATTAAAAATACAACGGATAAAATTGTATTGTACCACCAAAATCATAAATAATCTACATACTACTTACTCTTAAACCCTTTTGCATTTCTCCCCAATCTTCACCATCACCTTCAGAAGTGTTTAGATTAAATTCTGAGGCCCAACTATTTTGATTCTGGGCACTAAATTCGGACACCCAGTCGGCATTAGATACAGGAAATTTTTGTTCAACAACTTTATTTCCTTCTATAGAAACTTCATTATCACGCAGTTGCTTCATAAATTTTATAAAGGATGAATTTTGGAATTTTGGATTTGTTTCGTCTTTTATCGATTCGATCAATTTTCCAGCGCTCTTAGCTAATTCTGCTTTTGCATTACTTTTATTTGATTCATCATCATTTTGTTGCTGAAATTCATTTGTCCATGATTTATCTTGAGAAATATTTTGTTGTTGAAATTCATTTGTCCATGATTTATCTTGAGAAATAAAATTAGATTGTTCTATAGCATTGAATTCAGATTCCCAATCCACGTCTATTCCAAAAGATAATATAAGTTTAATAAGCACATAAACGAATTTAAAGGAAATGAAGGCTCTCACTTTTATTTGCATCATGGAAAGCACTCTCGAATGCAGTATATTCATCCGAAGGTAACCTGCAAGGATTTTGATTTGTAGATAGATACATATTGATCCATTCATCTATACAAAAGTAATTAAATATCTGTGAATCACAGAAGTCAAGATTTCAGCTTTTTACATACCTTGACAATTAGCATCATTAAAAATCTTTTCAAAAGCTACGTTATGACTCAAAGGATCATCATTTATCAGATTAGGTTGATCTAAAAAATTGTGAACCCAATTTTCGTTGTCTTTTGTATCGTGTATAATTGTTCGAAGTTCCTTGCCCATCTGATCTAAATCGTAAACGTCAGGTTCGCGACCCGGCTGATTGAAAAACTTTTCGTACTAATAGGATTTTTAAAAGTTAGAATTTAATCTAACAAATTCATAGAAATTTATTAAATTATTATTATATACCTCATGTTTATGTGCCTCTATGTTCATATGTGTCCTAAAAGTCTAAAGTAGGTACAAGTTATATAATTGAAAAATTTTCTAAAATTTTAATTATGCGTCGTACCTTTTTAGAAGTCCCTTCATTCAGTTGATCAGAATTAAATCTATCCTACGACCAAGAAAGGTTATAAGTAAAAAATTTAAAAATGAATTATCCGTGCTGACACAAATATTTACTCGTTGCAAAAACTTGTCTTGTGCAAGCTGCTTCATCAGACCTGAAACAGGATTTGATGTTCCGCAGCTTGCATCGTCGATAAGCCAAGATGGAAATGACATTTTGCAGACTCGCGTTAGAAAGTACGTACGTACGAGGATTCTTATATCTGATATATATATTGAATATCAGACCCTATTTGTTGGGATGTTAAAATGGGGTACCCTTATGTCCTGCGAATTCCGGACCTAGGGATCGACATCCAGTGTGAAATATGATTGGTCAATTTATATAATCAAATTTATATAGTACAGTAGTACTATAGTAATGTATAGTTAACACTCGAGATAACGAATTATTGCAAAGAGAAAATTATGAAATAGTGAAAATTTTTGCATCATAAGCGTGTTTGAACATATAAATTTGTCTTTTGATAATCGAATATTTCTATATAGAGAAAGCATTAGGTCAGAATGTGGACTTCGCTATAATGAGTTTTAGCTGTTTATTAAATTATAATAGCACAAATCTTAAATTCTAAAAAAAATTTAATGCATAACTTCATTATACAAGATATATCATCTCTAAGAGCCTTATTATTTAATAAAGATATATTGTGCATTTTCTATTAACACACAATTTTAGTTTAATTTTATTTCAAATGTTTCGTATATGATAATACTAGAACTGTTATATGGCTCAGTAACTTTACTAACCAAAATTAGTTAGTTATTAATACTCTATTGTGCAAAAATAAAGAAACTGTGTAATAAATTCAAACAAAAGGTATGCATAAAATATAAATTGAATTCAAAATATATTTTGAATTTACAAAAAAAAGTTAATAAAAATTAGAGTTAATAAATTTTAATTTTTTTTAAAAAAAGAAAATATTTCCTTAACCTTTCTCAATATACTATATTTATAATAGACAGTCTGATAACTTTGAGATCCTTAATTTTGATTTAAAATAAAAAAGTAAGAAACTTGAAATTATAATATGATTCATATAATATGTTGCAAAATACTTTTAGATTTTATATATATTTTGCACATAAGATCTCTTTTAGTTATAACTATTTTTTTACAAACCTTTGGGGTTTTTTAATAAATTTAAAATAAGAGACTTCAGATATTTGAATTGTATTGAATTATATTAATAAATTATATATATTCAAGTAAATATTCTTGCTGTTAATACTGTAAATTAAAAGTTATATTATATATAACTTTGTTTTTATATTTTAGTATTATTAGTTTAGACAAATCAAAAAGGTAAACTAATAAAATTTATAGCTATATTTAAAGATAGGGTCATGTAGATCATTTTTATATAGTTATATTAAAATTTTTATCTAAATTTGATATATGCTGCTAATAAAACTTTTTTATTTTTTAATTAATTAATAAAAAAATTTTATAATATATATTATAAATAAAATTATTTATCTATTATAATAAAATTTTGAAATATTGTATTATTTTAAAAAAATATACTTGTA